TACAGCTGGTGGTCTGCAGTTGTCTTTATTGTACTTAATAAACTGTCCAGTTTGAGTCAGATTATAATCATCAGATTTAATTCAATTATGAACAAATTAAAATGTTCCACATCATTTCATTTCTTATCAAATCATTTTAAATTATCTCATCATAAAACTTTAGATCTGGCTTCAGCCTTTCAGGAGAAAACAAAGACAAAACACACATCTGAGTTCTGATAGGACMGATCCAGAGTCTGCAACAAGAACCAAACCTACAGAACCGCGTTCAGAGGAAAACCATGTAGAAATAAAGAACAGGAAGTCACCTGAAGATAAAGATGGCCGCCAGAGCCAGCTGACCTGAGCAAACACCACCTCACTGAGTTKTACAGATCTGTGGTCGTAGCTGAAAGTCTTTCCCAACACAGACTCTGAGGGCTGATACATCACGTCATCTCAGTCTGAAACCCTGACTCCAAAGGAAGTGGGTTGTTAGGTTTGGGAGGTTCTGACCCAGGATGCKTTTGGACCTGGACTCCATAGTTTCAGTTGTTTTGTTCTGATTCTGTAACCAGAACCCGTCCATCAGTGATCCGGTTTCCTGTGAAGCAGCAGTTAAATTCTTTGTTCTGATTTCGGTGGGAACATTCCTCACCTGTTCAGGTGTGATTAAAGCCGATACTTTACACCACGGCAGGGTTTACCCACAATGCTTTACTCAGAACAACAGATGTCTTTATGGTCTTTTATTATTATTTTGTTTGTTTGTGTTTTCTTTTGATTTTACAAATCAAAACCTGAAAAATCAAATGTAAATTTTTTTCTTTTTTTAAATTTTTCATTTGATCACATGACCAGAGCTGACCAATCAGAGAGAAGCCTCCCAGTTTCTGCTTTTATTKGATCCAGATTTGAGAAACTTTCAGTTCAGATTCTTACAAAAGAATTCCTGAATTCTTCTTGGTYTTTAGACAAGAAATACATGTAGTACTGTTTGTAATACTTCACTTAGTACTGTATGTAGTACTTCCTGCAGTACTGTATGCAGTCCTTCCTGTTATCCATCCTGTAGTACCTCATGTAGAACTGTCAGTTGTTCTTCCTGTAGTATGTCCTGTATGTAGTACTTCCTGTAGTACTGTATGTAGGACTTCCTGTAGTACTTCCTGTGGTACTGTAGAGGAGGTTACTGTTGGTCAGAGGTAATCCAGCTCCCAGATTAAATCTGATAATCTCATTAAAARCGTTGAGCCTCCATCAGCTGATAAACACTGCAGAGGTTACTGCAGGTCATCTTCGTCTTCATCATTTTATTTGAATCAGACGTCTCCTTTTGGGTCCTGTCCTGTCCTGTCCTGTCCTGTCCCTGTCCTGTCCTGTCCTGTCCTGTCCTGTCCTGTCCTGTCCTG